TTAAGCATCTTTGAAAGATACCTATACTTTCAGCCTAAGGAACCATAGGGGTCACTCTGCAAAACATGAAACATTTCCAGGGAGAACATCACAACTCATCAGGAGAGAAGATGGAGAAAATAAACTATTTAAGGGTGTTATGGGTCTAAACAGAAGAGGTGCCATTGAGATGAAAACAGTAATGATTTGATTTCAATCTCCAAAACAAACTCTTTGAACACATTTTTAAATTAAATACCTCTGAAGAATTTCACGGCTAGCAAGTTCCTAGCCGTGAGCAAAACTAGACTACTCCCCATCAAGCTCTTTGATCACAAAAACAGGAAAACCAGAAGGAAGGCTACGACCATTCTGACAAAATCCAAGTATGAAGAATGTACAAAGTTGATCCTTCCATCTAATCTAAGCACAACTCAAGAAGGGACTCAAAAGACCCTTTTTAAAATTATTATTCCAAACTCCAACCATATATATTGATTACAGAGGATACAAGTTACAAGCAAGGGTGCACTGCACACAACGTAAAAAGAAGATGAAGAATTATCATACCACTCAAACCAGTATCATAGATGTCAGAGAAGTATAAAGAAGTAAATTCAGAAGAAAGTCAATTTCTTATTATGCCACTCAATTTCTTATTGGTCAGCTACGGTTAGGGTCACTTCTTACTCGGTCAGTATTTGTGTTTGGGTTAACCAAAATTTGGATGCCACCTCATACTCACAGTATTGGCCACTTGTTTACTATAGGTTCATAACCAAACGAACGACCCTTAGATTTGCTCGTAAGCCCAACACAAAAGCCCATAGACCAGTCTGCAGAAAGCTGAGCCCACTTCAGGCCTTGAGGGGTAAAGACCCCAGCTCGGAAGCCCAGTCCACTGTGTGTCCGCCATCCGTACATCTTCCTAGTCAGCAGAAAATTGACCGAGCAGGTCGGATCATAAGAAACCCAGGCACCGCAAGCAGCTCAGCTCACTGCCCAAACAGAAGAACCCTCTCGCGTAGCGTAGGCACAGGGTTTAAGACCTTTTCTACTTACCGCCGGCGACTTCATCATTTTTTCCCCGCCATGGATACGGTGAGGCTCCGATTAGCATTCGACCGAGCTCTATCCGAGTCTCTTGAGAAGACCGACGGATTGAGACGTTTCTGGGTCCTCCTAAAACCTCAACACAGAACCATCTCCGATCTCTCCCATTACCTTCTCGACGCCTTCGACCTCCACAATGCATGCCCCGACGGCCTTCTCCTATCTGTAAACAACCGCTACCTCTCTCTTACCTTTTCCCCCTCTGATTTCAGAATTGGAGAGTGTTTGTGATTCTTTGTTTATGTTTCGTTTGGCAGATGGAAGGGTTCTTTCTACCGCCATTCGAGTCGACTGGTGTGTTGAAGGACGGAGATATTGTCAGGGTTAAGAAGAAGAGTGGCGAGTTTGCCAAGTTGGGTGATGATGGGGAAGAGAGGACTAATTTGGGAATGTTGGGATTTGTGGGTAATCGGGCTTTAGCTGCTGCTGTAGCACCCATGAAGCTTCTGGCGAATGAAGAATTTGAAAAGGAAACTGGTGGCTATGAGAGCGATGAATCAGAAGAGGAGGAGGATGCTGAGCTGGATGATATATTGCATCTGGATGAAAAACCCCCGGAAACGAAGAAGGTTTCCAAGAAGAGGAAGGCGTCCGAGGAACCTGGGAGTTCCAAGTATGTTCTCTTTGTTTGTGCCCCTCTCTTTGTTGTTGTAAAAACTGAAGTTTTACTGCCATTTTTTAGTAAATGTGGACGGGATGAGATGCAATGGTGGAAAGTTCAAGTAAAGCCGGTAGTTTGAATTTTCAGGAAGAAGAAGAGGAAGAAGAAATCTTCTAGTGCTGAGAAATGTGGAGTTGGTACAGCAGATACTGAAAACAATGTTGGTTCTCAAAAGGGCACAAAAACCTATGTTGCTGCTGATAAGAAGGCTAAGAAAGATAGCAAGGCTAGGGATGGCACGCCAAATACCAGGAAGTAAGTCCTTTTAATCTTGCTTACTCTTGTTCCCTGGTCTTTTAGCTTATATGATGTTTAGGATCCCTAGTCATTTTGAATTTGCTTGTTAATTGCTTGCAAGGATTGCTAGGTCGGAGTTCTGTTGGCGGCAAGATATAGTTGAGTTGAGATTTTGAGTATGACACCCCCTATTGTCCATGATATTAGTGTAGTTAACAATTTATGACAATTGTTTGTTCATCTGAGATAAGAGAACAGACTACTTTTTCTCTCTCTCTTGGTTTAATCTAGCTTGCAGGCTGCAGCAATTCCTGTCCCAGCCTCTATTCCTGATCTGCTTATGTTCTTATCAAATCTGGGACTTTGCTGTGAGAACAGTGGTCAATGTAATATAGTATGGATGCCGATGATGTTTGTAATGCTTTCAGCTCTCTTACAGTGTTCTATTTGTTTTTCTTTTGTTTCCAGATCAAGTGAGCCTAAAGATTGCTGTTCTGATCATGTGGATGCATCTTGTCCACTTTCTGAAACTATAAAGGTATCTTGATGGCACTATCAGTGCGATGCTGTTACGTGGCTAAAATATTATCTTTCTGTTTTCAGTGAACAACTTTTGAATTTGACGATACGTTCCTTCGTTTTGGACATCCAATTCCAAGTTTGACTTCAGCTTTGCAATGCCTTGTGTTTCAGCTCCCAAGTAGAAGTGCTCGACGTAAGAAGGCCAAGAGACAATGGTTGAGGGAGCTACGAAGAGCTGAAAAGAAAGTATGTTGGTCATACACTCATACTATAACTCAAATAGCACTGAAACAACCAGTGAAATCATTTCCTGTTTATAATGCCTTTGGTTCTGAATGCTGAATCTTTCAGGAAGAAGAGGAGAAGCAATTGTCTTCAAAATCTAACCAGAAAGCTTGTCAAAAGAAGAATCACAAAGCAATTGAAGAACCAGCCGACAAACAAAGCCACTCTTTGGTGGGAGAGGTTCCTACTAAGGGTGATAGCACACATGTTCAGGTGGAAAATCAACAACCAGATCAAGATAGTGATAAAGATGATGATGTTGTACCAATAGTGATAAGACCAGGACATATCCGTTTTGAGCCACTTCAGAAAGGTGCAAATGATTATAATGGTCTGCCTTTCAGCCACTGTATTATTGCTTTCAGTACTTCACCTTTATTTCTTAACACGGTTCTTGTTCCAGGTAGTGCTGATCAGCCTGTCCAACAAAATCAAACACTGCTGGTAGGTTTCATTCTGGGGATTGTCAATTGTATAGTGTAGTAATTTCAGTGTTAATTAAAGTCTCCAGCTTTGGATGCTGAACTCTTATGTTTTCTCTTTACTGGATGCTGCTTCAGGAAACTTCTCAGTGGGATGGGATGAGCAAAAAGAAAGGTCAAAAATGGGGATCACAGAAAAGTGCATCATGGAAATGGAATGATAATGGAAATTCCAGTCATAAACCTTCTGAAAGATGGAAGGATAACACAAATTCCAGCCACAAACCATCTGAAACATGGAATCACGATGCCAATTCTGGCCAGAAACCTTCTGAAACACAACCAGTGGAAGAACCAACTTCTGTTTATAATCAGATCGACTTCGATAAGCTTGCAGCTTATACGAATTCACCCAAGGTTAAGTTTGTTCTTATGCTTAATTATTTTGACCTCTGTTTCAGTCTTATTTGGTATGTGGATTGAAGAGTCAAGCAGGTTCTGACAAATATTGCAGGAAGGGGATGTTATTGCTTATCGTCTCATTCAGCTATCGTCATCATGGACACCTGAGCTCTCACCATACTTAGTACTGTTCTTCCTTCACTTGTATTTCTTCCACAATATTCTCTTGAAGAGCGTAGAATGAGTTTCCTTTTATGTCATCTGTAGGTAGGGAAAATATCAAAGTTCGACCCTCAAACCAATAATATCAAGCTGGTTGCAGTTCCGAAGTATCCTTTGATCCCCGAGAACAAACTAGATGATGAAGAATCCGAGGTGCTTCCAGAAACTTGTTCTTTACAAGAAGATGGCTCTCTAGAGGTCGGTAAAACAACTCACAGAACAACAGTTTTCTACTTCCCCTCTTCTGCTATCAGATGAATTGACTGTTAAAGCTTTACCTCTCCAGATGGATTTTACTTCACTTCTAGAAGTCCGTGCTGTGAACCCTAGCAGTGCTGGGTCAGTAAAGTCCAATCTTGTCAATGAAGCCTCTCCAAATGAAGTTCAAGGTACAGCAGAAAATGGCGCAAAAAATCACACATCTAGTCAAGGTACTGATTGCTAATTTGGTTCTTTGCTAACACAACAATCTCATTTATCATCCACGAATATCATCTCACTTTCCATTGTTAATACTTGCTAGAAAAAAGAGAAGCAACGAAGAGCCCATGGGATGAGATCAGCGAAGCTTTGAATGCAAAGAAAGCAGAATTGTCGCATGAGGATAATAACTGGACGGTCACCGAGAGTTCGGGCACAAACCAATGGAGTTTCAAGGCGCTGAGAGGCAGTGCTCTAGGGCCGACAATGGCTCTATTAAGATCACAAAATGGAATATGAAGCATTTTCGTTTGTCTGCAGAATGGAAAGGGGAAAAGGACTGCTCCAAATTTTGTTCCAGCTGCCTTATTTCGCAAAGGTCACAACTATATTATTGTTGGCCACTGTAAAAGTTGAGCAACAACAAGGGGTGAAATGGAAAATCTTTCTTGATTTACTTTTATTAGGTGGAAATGTTTATTACTCTTAGTATGATTCTGAGACCTGAACAACAAACTTGTAACTCCCCTCCCCTGTACATGTTTTTTTCAGGAAAAAAAAAAGCTTTCTACATAATACATAACCCGAGCAAGAAAAAGAATCTGGGTTGTCTCCAAACTTCTTCGACTCTCATTCCTGGCAATTACTCTCAGCATTCTTACTCTGACTTAACATGTTGAGAAAAAGCTCCAATAACCTGCTGATTCAGATGATCCATGGCAATGAGAAAAACTAGATCACAACTGATTAATATGAACTCTGCCATCTTCCTCTCTGTCGACAATGTCATAATCTGCACCAGTCATATCAACATCAGTCATTTCCTCCTTCCCCCCATGACCATCCTTCATCACATCATCATCCAATTCAGGTTGCTGCAGAATTGCCCCACAACTCACTATAAGTGGCGGAGGGTTACTCCCTCTTCGCTCTGCTATAGATGGTGAAGTAGTTACCTTGTTCGACACATGACTCGTTTGAAGATCAACAGGAAACACCTTTGTAGGTGAGTTAAGAGCTTCCAAACCAGAAGGGGAAGGCTGTTGGGAAGACACATACGACAAGTCAGACCAGTTTGAAGATGAGGGCGAAAAGGTAAATGAACTTGACGAATAATCCGAAGCAGAAGGCGATATTGTAGCAGGAGACTTGTAGCCGAATTTCTGAGCAGAGTCCGGTGAGCAAGAGTGATAGGAATCAGGCGAACCAAAAGGAGTCGACGAAGACAATGTGTCCTTACTTGGAATCCCTTTTTCCTCCACATCTTCTTCACCTTCATATATTACTGAATCTACATCCATTTTGGAGGATGAACTGATGAACTCCTTCATGATACCACTAGCAAACTTCGTTCTAAGCCTCCCCCACCCATTCTCACTTGCAGAAAGGCGAGTCTCGAATTCAGCATTCGATACCGAACAAGGTGGGACAACCCCTCCACAAACTGCCTTATCAAAGACCTCAAAATCTGAATCATACGCATCAACTTTCCTTTCATCACTACTACTACTGCTACTACAAACACCAGCACCATCATCATTAGTCCCGAGAGCATCCCAAAACTCATTCCCTTCTTCCCCTTCATGAACAATAACAATCGGACCTTTCGCCCTTTCGTATCTAATCACCTGACTTGCAGCTACCCTAGCATGATTCAACATCACACGGCTACATTTCTTCCCTATCCAAACAAATATGGTACTAGGAACATGAACAACGAAAGCTCCACGAGAGTCTAGTCCTTTCAAACCTGGATTGCTCAACATCTTGGGGACAAGGTGGAGAGGATCGTAAGGCGAATGAGGAGCCATTCGATACACACGAAGGACCGAATTAGGGCTGGCCGGAACAGCATGAACACGCTTCTGGCACTGGAGAAGCTGGCAAGCGAACCCCATGTTGGGATTGGTAACACCTCGAGCTGCTTTGACATACTGAAATGCATCCTCGAAGCTCTGGCCTTCTCTCCACATGAGGTAAGCTATGACCAGCGAGGTGGACCTCGAAACACCCTGGCAACAATGGACCAAAACTTTCCCACTCTGCTCCCTCACGTCTTCAAAGTAATCGAACACGTCGTAGAGAATACTGGTGATGTCCTCTGAAGGGGAATCCTGCAGCCAGAGGGTTTTGTAAACAAGGTCGTCTTTGAAGTACTCAGGGGAGACGAATCCAACACAGTTAAGGACGTGGGTGATTCCGTTCTGCCGGAGAACTTCCCGGTTCTTGGCCACCGCGTCGCTTCCGAGGTAAATGTGGTCGGCGATTCTGGAGCATTCTTTGTCGAAGAAGGCCAATTTTTCTCTCTTGAACTGGAATTCCCTCACAGGAGGATTGGAGTTGTGAACTGCCGCCGGCTGAGGAGTCAATGGGAAGCCGCCGGCGCCGGCGGTTCTGGGAGTTTGTGGGTTCGGCCAGATTCCCAAATCGTCGGACCCGGCCCGAGGCCATTCTTCAACCGGAGCTCTGGTTATGGACAAAGGCTGGAGCGGCGGGAGACATGACCTCGCCTTGCTGTGATTCGAGGGCTGGTGAGGTCTAGGGTTGTTGCTCGGCCGGCGCGGTGAACGGTCGCTCCATGAAACAGACCGGAGATAGTTTTTCCGGGCGGCGGCTGGAGGGAGGGGGTTATTAGTTTCCTCCTGGCCTAACATTTCAGAGAAAAAAGAGGGGCAAGGAGAGAAAAAGGAAAGGAAATTTGGTGGTGGGTTAACAATGGAATTCTACGAAAAGGGGATGGAACCCATGAAAGGATACTTCCCTGGAAGGGGAAGAAGTCGCCATTTTTTTTGTTTTTCAACAATAAACAAAACACAGTCAATAATGAAAGCTCCTAATGGCCCCCTTTTTCCCTTTCCCTCTTCACCTAAACCCTCTGACTAGACTTACAACGACAAACCCAAATCAAAATTAACACTCTGTTTCCGTCTCTCTTTCTCTTTCTATCTGTCACTCAGTTTCGTTTTTCTCGGTCTAAAAGGTGAAAGGGAGTGGAAGATTGAAAGGAAAGAAATTGCGACCTGGTAAGAGCTGGAAATGGCGGAGTTATAGCCAGATTCAAACGAAAGAAGCCTATATTGAGAAAACAGAATCGAGAGGAAGAAGACGATGAAAAGGGGCGACTGAGTTGGACGGGGGAAGCGAGTTGAGATCGACTCGGTGGGTCAGCGCAGCGGCAAAAAGGATTGGATTGGTTGAATTTTCCCAGAGGAGAAAGAGAGGAGGAGGGAGGGAAAGATGAAAGGGAAGGGAAGAAGAAGAAGAAGAATGGGTCAAACTGCCACGTCATGGTTTGATGACTTTCTCTCTCTGGCTGTTAAGAGAATAATTAATGAAATTGAAAGGTTTTATTTTTGTGTGAGGGGGATTTTAATTAAATTCGGAAAGTTTCATTTCATGTGTAAATTGTGATGTCATTCAAGGCGCTGGTTTTATTGGACAAAGGAGTTACCTGAGAGACACGCTAGGGTAAGGGTGACTTCACGGTAAGCCTTGCTTTAATTTTCAAAGATGCCTTCATTTTGGATTTTGTTTTTCTTTTTTCTTTATGCATTGGTGTAGCATATATACTAGTTTTGACTTTTGAGTACTGTTAGTTGGGCGAAAAGTAATTTTTTAAAGATAATTTAGTTATGCATCACGATAATATTTTTAATACGCATGAAATTTGTTGTGTATCATGATAGTATGTAAGAATTGCACATTTGTATAGTCTAGTAATACAGTAGAATAAGAAACGCGTCATGTGAACTATAATACTGCATGAGACATTAGTGTACTTATCCTTCAAAGATCAAGAGGAGTTGGGAAAGGAATTATTTATCCATGTTCCTTTTCATTCTGATGCCTAACACTCTCTCCATTTCTACTGAAAATGTTGTTGGGAGAAGGTTTTGCTAGATCTTATAACACTCTCTAACACGTCTCCTCAAACGAAAGCCAACCCATGGGCTTGAAGTTTGTACAGGCGATCACCATACCTTGTGTTTTAATCAACTGTTAATATTGGGGGTCGTGGAGATTTGAACACGGCCACTTGGACAAACTAGCTCTGATACCACCAGTTGGTCTCAATAACTTGAGTTGTTGTGAGAAAGTTATAATGAATCTTATAACACTATATAACAATTAATGTTGGACTCTAGAAAAGTCGAAGAAGGATGGAGGTTAGGTTTCAAGAATTTTCGCCTCTTTAAATTGGCTCTTGTTGGCAAGCAGGTATGGAGGATGTTTGAGAATACCGAAGCAAGCTTCTAAAGGGACTTTATTTCCCCATGGGGATTTCTTTGTTGGGAAAAGAGAGGTGTGGATCGTTGTGAGATGGATTGTGTAATACAAAAGAGCCGTTGAAAATAGGAGCGTTAAGGGTTGTAATGTTCGACGATGGTACATAGGTGTGGTTTGGAAGTTGTGATTGTTAGAATTGTGTTTGCCTAATACATGTTATTGTGTACAATACAATGTTTGAACGTGTCAAAATGTAAAACAATGTATGCATTGTTTTAGGTAGGTCCCATCAACAATCACAAAAAATGATACATTATACAATCTCAGCTTTTGATATTGTTGTGATTGTTGCTTTTAGATTTGTGTCTAGTTTTTCTTTCTATTTATATCACTAATAGTTTTTGTCTTATACTAAAAGTTTAAGGTAAATATGACATTTCCCCATAAAATTAACTTTATATAAATCAATGCATAAAGTAGAATCTCAACACCCAAACAATGTATTGTTAAAATGCATTCATTGTATCAATACATGCATTTATATTATGGTGATTCATTACAATGCAACGATTTAACATTCGCAACTTCCAAACGACCCCTCAGTTTCATTGTGACCCATGAATATCATCTCTCTCATCCAGTGGCGGAGGCAGGCCTTTTGGGCCTTGTCCCGGGACAGGGGTAAATTTCGGAGGAAAAAAAATACGCCATATATATTTATATTGGTGATGGAACACAACATCTATAGGTAGTATTAGAGTATTTTGACACTACAACACAACTCATTGTTTGTTCAAAAGTTGACATAAAATTAATTTATTATACTATAAACGAAATTCCAATAGCAACAAAGACCTAATTAGATCTCTTTTTTCCTTATCTCTATTCGATCTTTTCCCTACAACCCTGAAGTTGTCTAACGGCAACGGCAACGGCAATTTCACTAGTTTTGATTCTACCAATTACAACTACAAGTGTAAAAAGAGCATTTTCAGCTATGTGTTATATTAAAAACAAGTTTCCAAGTCGATTTGGCTACCAGTTTGCTAATGCTTGTTTAGCGAAATACACTAAAGAGACTTATTTAATAGTGTATACAACGAATATTTTTGCGTTTCTTTCACAATATGAAATTCCTACGTCGTTGTTTATGAAAACTATGATTGTATAGTCGGTTATTTTTAATCTATAAATGAATTATTTTAATATAATTAATTTTAATTATTTTTTATTAAATATTTCTTAATTAGATACTTATATATTTAAGTTATAAAAAGAGGACATGGATAATTTAAAATGTTGCCTTCGCCACTGCTCTCATCCTTCTTTTTGTCGAGTATGAGCCTTCAACCAGCAAATATGGAATGCACATATGAGTATGGACCGAATTGTCCCCTACCCACCCGTATATACATTTTTTTGGATTTTGACTTTTGAGTGCATATTATAATTCGTCTTCATCTTGTAAATACTTAACATTAATCAATTTAGCAAATAAAGATGGTTGAAATAGTAATATATTAGGGTTAACATTACCTGCTTCTCAATTCAGTTTTTGCAACTTCTTTCATTGGGAAGAAACTCTATTTGACACCACTACTAGGATCGCAGTATTTTTTTTTAATATATATTTTTTAACATGGAACACACAACCTTATAATAGGAAGTACGTTAATCCACCTGTTAAGTTGGTGCTCATTCGATCTTCTTCCGCATATTTACAGAGTTGGAATAGCCTCCAAAATATGGATAAATTATTTAACTGTACTGCAGATATGGCTTTCATTTTCAATATAACTAGGTGGCGATGTCGTGTCTTGTCACGAAGCGGAGATGGCCTATGAGCATATATTATTTGGTCTGTTATGGTGTTTTGTTAGTATTATTAGCCCAAAATTAATTTTTTGTTAGCAATTTTGTTAGTAATATTGACTGAGAAGAGATATATGACAGTCAACATCCAATTTTAAATTTTCTTGCTAATAAATGATATTTTCCTAAACCCAAGTAGACACATTGATTACGGGAAGAGTATGGATGACGTATATATGGGTTTGGAAAATTGTAGATGAGTTTGGGTAGGGTATGGATATTTACTTTTCATAATCTAAATGTGTATGATTTGGGTATGAATACCTATATATTCGAGGGTGTTTTAATTATATATACAAAAAATTAGACCTATTTGTAGAACTTCAACAGTCCAGGTACTAAAATGTATTGCAAAAAAAATTAGGTACTAAAATGTAATGTTCCATCAATATTTTAAGGACTTATATACCAAAAAATAAATTTAGGTTATAAATCTAAAGATCTATTAAGTTTAGGTACCCAGCTGTAATTTGCGTAGTTGAGTTTTAATTCCTTTTATGGTTATGTATTTAAAATGATAATTTTTTCATTTTTTTATAGAAATAGTAAACTATTTATTTGATATGTTTAATTGTTGAAAATTTCATGTATAATTGTTGAAAATACTAGCCCGGGTGAAAAAGAAAAACTCTTGAGAGAAGCAAAAGGAATACAAACTGGAACTCGCTTAAAATTTCACGCCTTCAAATCCCATAGTGGAAAATGACGACTTTCTAATTAGTAATAACCATATATATTTGTTTTTAATTGGAATCGACATTGAGCTGAAAAAGTTAGTGATTCATGGTTCAATTATTAATTCTCTAGACTGTTGGTCAGTCCTGTATGGACCCGTTCACACTTGTGATTAGAGTACATAGAAATAGTATACTAATTAGGGTTAGACGAAGAAGGCAAAGAAAGAAATAAAGAAAGGGTTATGGAAGGCGAGTGAAAACTGAAACAAAGAGTAAGTAGATGATGGAAAGGTTTTGATCAATACTTTTAGTTGGCCGTCAATACAACAGTCATCCCTTTCATCGTAGCAGTTTGTTGACACTTGCTTATGTTGATGTCACATATTTTGTTACATGTAGTTAGTAGAAGTTTGTTTAGTACCCCATAAATGTACTAAGTTTATAAATTCACTCTAGCAATATTTTAGAATCGTCTCTATTTATCATTTTTTTAATGTTTCATGTAATGAGAAAATATAAAATGGTCGAATCTTCTTCTATAGTTGAGTGATACAACATCTTGTATGGTACAAACTAAATATATACTTTTATGTTATGGTGGATTAGATTCATGGATTGGTTCAAAAGGATTGGTGGTACAAACCAATCCATGAATCCAATCCACCATAACATGAAAGTACAAATTTAGTTTGTACAATACAAGATGTTCTATCACTCAACTGTAGAAGAAGATTCGACCATTTTATATTTGCTCATTACGTGAAACATTAAATAAATGATAAAAGAGAGACAACTCTAAATTATTGCAAGAGCGAATTTATAAACTCAATTAGTACATTTAGGGTGCACTAAACAAACTTATACTAATTGCATGTAAC